TATCATCTTCTTCCGGATTTGGTGGACCTGTTGATGCTGAGCATAAGAGGTCTTCCGAATCTGTTTGCTGCGTTTTTTAGTAAAACCAATACAGAACAGATGAAGCAAGTAACCACCTTTGGTCTTGACGTCAACATGAGCTTCAGTCATGGTCTGCCAGTTTTTGACTGTGGAACTCATTTTGTCATGGGTAAGGTCCATGCCATGGAAATGAGTTAGGTAGTTTTGCTCTGAACATCCTCAGTAATTAGCTTGAGATTTCTAAATGCAGTCTTGTCATTCTGCAGACCAGCTAGGCTCACTTCAAAAACACGACTCTTGAGACTATCAGAGACTATTTGATTCTTTGAGTTCTTGTGACTAGTGTTTTCCCAATATTTCTTATATTGAGCATAGCTGCTGCTTTCACATCATACCAATATTTCTTAGAAAATGCGCCGACTACTTTCTTCTTGACTCTCTTTTTGCCACCTTTTGTAAGGCACTTGTTCTTGCCAACCTCCATGGTGCCGCCTAGAGAGCCAAAAGGCTAGGAAGCCTTAACAGCAGCACCCTCTGTTTTCTGCAGACTTCAATGCCCCTTCTTTGGGTGTTCACAACTCATTGGTTCAAAGAATTTCCCACTATATTTTAGTGGTTAACAGGCTCACTTTCCTTATTACATTGTGGGCTGAGGGGCAGGAGACTGTGTTTAATCCATAACCTCTATCAGAGTGCTGACACATAGTAGGTGCTCAATACTTGTCGATTGAATGTGTGACTTAATGAATGGGGCAGAAGAGGTCCAAGTAAACAGAGAGAAACACCAAGTCTCTGAGGAAGAAAAGGAATTTCTGGCAGTGGATATCAACCAAGGAAGCCTTCCTAGAGGAGGTGAACAGGCTGTTTGTTGATAGGGCAGAGACATTCCAGGCAAAAGAACTGATTGGTCAAGGCAGAGGGGAGCCATGGGAAGGTCTTCTGTCAGGAATAAAAATGTTTGTAGCCAACATTCACTGAGGACCTACTCTGTTCCTGGCCTTTTTCTAAGCCCTTACACATATTATTTTCCCATTTAATCTTCACAACACCACAGGAGGTTGGCACTGTGATTATCTCCATTTCACGGATGAGGAAAGTGAAGTTCAGTTACTAGCCGAAGGCATATATGTCCGATAATTTTAAAAATTTTCAATTACAGTTGACATACAACATTATATTAGTTTCAGGTATACAACATAGTGGTTAGGCATTTATATAACTTATGAAGTGATCCCTCCATAAGTCTGGAATCCATCTGACACAACGCCGTTATTACAATATTATTGACTATATTCCCTATGATGTACTTCACATTCCCATGACCATTTTTCCTATAGGTCAGATTTAATGAGAGAAGTAGAACTACCAAGAGTGAGACAGAATATAGGATTTGACCTTTTACAATGGGGAAGCTACTTAAAGATTTGCTACTTCTGAGTCTAAAATCATCAGGGGAGGCAGTCGGATAGGGAAGATGGATGTGAAGTGGGGAAAGCAACAATGAACTGAACCAGTGAGAAGAAGTGGGACTCTGGAGGATGAACAGGCAGCCACCTCCAAGCCACCAACTTCAGTGATACAGGTGACCTGCAGAAGAAGTAGGCACCCTCTGTCCTGAAACTAATCACACATCTGGTCCAGGAGTTAGATGAGCTGAAGGAGGAGGTGAGTGGAGAGCCCAGAGACCTGCATCAACAAGTGTGAAGTACAACAATGCTGGAGCCCTGTGCCCCCCTCAGGAGTGAACACGGCTGCTGCATCCCTTCTGGAACCATGGATAATTGCAAGAAAGGGGTGTCTAGAACTGTGGCTCAGCTTAGCTCAGCTGATTCAGCACAGAGCCAGCACTCAAAGTCACAACCCAGACCTGGGGGCGTGTGAGGAAGAAATGGCTGGGAAGGTTGATCAGAGCCAGACCAGGAGGGTCTCGACAGCTCACCAAGAATTTGAGAATCTTTCCATGGGATAACAGTGCTGGTTTTAGAGTCTGCGTGTTGAGTTGGAAGCGAAGATGAGACATGCCCCTAGAGATGCCCTGAAGTCTTGAGAATAGTCAGGCTGGGGTAGGAGGGCAGGAACCCTGGGATAGATTCTGAATTGGGTGGTTCAGGGAGGGTGTGTGTGTGTGTGTGTGTGTATGTGAAGAAGGAGACCTCAGGTGATGCCTGCAGGTGAGACGTTAGTCAGGTAGAAAGGCTCACAGAACTGTGAGGAGCCAAGGTCAAGGAGCATGGGGAGCATTGGGAGGCAGAACCCTGGAAGATTGTTTGGGGATGTGCGCATCTTGACCCTCCTTCCTGGGCAGATGCTGCTCTGATGGTGCCTGTGTCATGTTCAGAGTTGGGCTATTAGGTGGCCTACTGCAGATGCCTCTACCCACTCTTCCACCTCCGTGTGAGGGGCATGCATGTCCCGCTGTTCCAGCCCAGACTCTGCTCTGGAAGCCAGGAAGCACACATGCCTTCGCCCTGCCTGTAGGGAGCCAACATACAGTCTGGAGGCCGAGGGGAAACCAGGCACTGCAGTTGAAAGAAGAGGAGCACCAATGAAGGTGGCCTCTCCAGACCTGGGAGGACATCCAGGAAGAAATGGCATTTAAGTAGGAATCTGATCAAGCCCCTAGCTCTAATTATCCTGAACAGGAAATCCAAGAGCCAGCACTACCATCATCCCGACTGTGGGACCCGTAGGGCCAGCAACCCAGTGTCCTCTTAGCTGTTCTGTGTAGCATAACCAAAAGAGCGAGGTGAACCTGTGGATGAAAAGAGACTTAATAGATGGGTCAGCACGTTGTGACATGTAGACCTTATTTGGATCCTGATTTTTTGAAGATAATGATAAATTACTCTGCTCAGGTTGCCATAACAAAATACCACAGACTGGAAAGCTTAAAAACAGGAGAATTTATTTCTCATAGTTCTGAAGTCCCAAGTCAAGGTCTGGCAGGGTTCTGTTTATGGGGAGGACTCTCTCCTGGCTTGTACGTGTCTACTTATCTTCACATGGCTTTTATTCTGAGCCATGTGAGATTGGGGACTTAGGGAGGCTGTGGAGAGAAAGATCACTTCTTCTTCTTATAAGGCCACCAGTCCTATCAGATTATGACCCTACTCTTATGACCTCATTTAACCTTCATTACTTCTAAAACTCTCTATTTCCAAATATAGATACATTAGGGGTTAGGGCTTCAATAAACGCATTTGAGGGAGACATAATTCAGTCTATAGCAGATGACATTTATGATGAATTGGCACTTTGAATGCTGACTGGGTATTTAAGCATATGGAAGAACCATTGCTAAATGGGGTATGGTAATGATAATAGATAATATTGTGTCATACATTTACATATACATGTACAGTTGAACAATGTGGGGGTGAGGGGTGCTGACCTCCCACGAAGTTGAAAATTTACATATAACTTAAATCAGCCTTCTGCATACATGGATCCCAATGGCTGATCAAAAATACACTTGAAACTTGAACGAAGCAGGTTTGACCTAGGCGGGTCAATTAGAAAAAAAAATCCATGTACAAGTGGACCAACACAGCTCACACCCACGTTGTTCAAGTGTCAACTGTATATAATATATATAAAACATATGTATATATGTACATATAGAATAATATTACCATTATATGTATGTGTGTGATTGTGTGTGTGTGTAGATACACACAGAAATATTAATGGGCGAAAAATCATCTGATGTCTGGGATTTGTTTCAAATTATAGGGGAAGGGGGAATGAATGTGGCTACAGATGGAGCAGGACTGGCCATGAGTCACTGGTTGTTGGGTCTGGGTTATGGGTTCACGGGGTGCATTATATTGTTCTGTCTACTTTTGTATATGTTCTAAATACTCCGTAATAAAAAGTAAAGACGAAAAGTGAGGAAGATTCGTGAAATTTAGGGTTTGGGGGAGGAGTCAGGTATTTGCTAGAAGTTGCTCAGGGGAAGCTCTGAGAGAGTGAGGCTGTTGGGCGTGTGAGGCCCCAGGGGTTCATAGGCACTGGAGTGTGAAGCTGTGCTAGGTACTTGAGTACCAAGTCTCTACACTGCAGAACAAAGACCAATCTCAATGGAGGCCCCTGGCTCAGGACAAGGGAGACCAGCACCCAGCGGGAGATCCCTGAGGGCCTGTGAGGCTTAATTAAGGGAACAGAGGAAGTGGCCATTTGTTCTGGAAGGCCTGGTGGTAGAAGAGGCATCAGGTGGAGACAACCCACTGTGCTAGGAGCAGGGAAGCCTGAGGGTGGAGCAGTGAGAACATGGTCATCCAAGTTCACAACCAAATCTTTGCTAGAATTGTAAGATATTCACCTTTGCTTTAGAAACATTTCTTTTGCGTTCTTACCGGGTGACTTTGAGTAAGTTACTTAACCTCTTTGATCCTCAGTTTTTTCTTCTGTAAAATGGGGATAGTAATAGGACTCACTTCATAGGTGGTTATGGGATTAAATGAGAAAACACTTGTAAGCACTAAAAAAGAGTGTGTATTAGCTATTATTATTATCAGAGTTTCAGGGAGGAAGCTGTCCTCCCCTGGGGCAACAAGGTGGAGACAGCAGCCATTAAAATAAGAGAACCCCAGTGGGGAGGTGAGAACATAAACTCCTCTTTGCCAGCCCTTAACAGGCTTGTGATTTATTTTTAATAAGAAAAAAACTGTTTCCTTACAGCAGTGAACAGGGTCATTTGCGGAAAAGAAGTTGAGAAAGGACCAAGTAAAACCATAGGATCTTGTGAGAAAGTGTAGTTGGCCAGAGACGGTCAGGCCGAGAGACCAGCCAGGGGTCCAGCTCCAGAAACCACCTCTGGTGCTGTGGCTTCTAGAAGTGAGGGTCTATAGGAGTGAAAGGTCAGCCCCTGTGAGGGAGGGGTGGGGCCTGAGTGGGCTCCTCCCTCTGTGGGGAGCAGTGGCCTTTCCTCTGCAGGGCTGTGGCTCCGGGACCACTTCCTCCTTTTCTCGGAAGCCAGGAGAAGATCTGCTGGGCCCTCAGGAAGGATGGGAGCAGATTCCCAATGCCTTACTTAGCCTACCTATGACCCCAGGCAGGGGTGGCTTGAGTGTGCTGGCTGGAGGCCTCTCTCCCTACTTCAGGGACCCTGGAGGCCTGCAGGATGGAGGGGAAGAGTAAAGAGAAACTGGCATCTGTATCCAATCTGGTGACCGTGTTTGAGAACAGCAGGTATGGGGTAGTGGGGGTGGGAAGGGTCACCTTGGCCTCCCTCCAGCCTCCCTCTAGCTCCTCCTCCCTCCCCTGGGCCCTTGGGCAGCACAGACCCTCCCAGTCTCCAGGCTGAGGAATAGGACCAGGGCCAGTAAATCAGGGAATTTACCGGGTGGAGTTTTGGGAACAACACCTGTGGGGGTGAGAGACACAGCATTGGGCAGAGGGAGGAGTTGAACTGCTATGTACTTGCAACAGAGGCCCCAGCCTGTCCCAGGAGCTCTGGACTCCTCTCAGTGAGCAGATCTCTCTCTGGGCCCTGTCCTGGACTCCTGCCTGGGCAGCGCCTGTGTCCCTCAGTCATGGGTTCCTCAGAGCACAGGAGAATGTTGTTGGGGCACCAGGAGCTGAGCAGAGGTGAGGGCGTGCTTGTTGATATGCTGGAGAGACTCCAGACCTGTGTGTAATTATGAGTGAGACGGAGTGGACCGAGCACAGGGTTTGAGCTGCAGAACTCCACCTGTTGCCCCTCCAGAGAAATGATAGCTAATACTCATCAAGCACTTACTCCTGATATATAGGATAAACATGTAATTTATCATTCAAACCAGGACACTACTGACATTGAAAGTGAATGCCATTAAATTTTTTTTGGTGGGAGGAGCGGACAATAGGAAAAGCTGAGACTAAACCAGGTAAACCTGGATGTATGGTCAGCCTACCTATGGGGCACTGTTCTAAGTGCGTTTTGTTAATTATTTCATTTAATCATCTAACAGCCTAACCGGGGTAGGTTCTATTTTTATTCCCATTTTATAGATGAGAAAATAAAGATACAGAGAGGTAGAAAGGCTTTAAGTGCTTTAAGTTCATGGGCAAGGGGCCATGCAGGGGCTTCTGTCTGAAGGGAAAAGACTGGGTCAGATGTGTGGAGGTCATTAGTGGCACGGATGGTGTGTGTGTGCATGCACGCATGTGTGTACATGTGTTTGCGTGTGGCTTTAATCCACTCTGGAGGCATGTTAAGGACTGTGTTAGGGACCTTCTTAGGTAGGGTTTCCTGGAAATAGACTGAGATAGAGATTTACTTCAGGAGATTTACTAGGTGGAGTTTTGGGAACAACACCTGCGGGGGTGAGGGACACAGCTTTGGGCAGAGGGAGGAGTTGAACTGCCATATACCTGCAACAGAGTTCCCAGTCTGTCCCAGGGAGTTCTAGAGCTGGGATGCTCCTCAGGTCATTCCAAAGGGTTGGGTCCTTATACCCCCACATGGACTAGTCGTCGGATGTGGACTTGACCTTGGGTGGGGCAGCTCTCTTCCAAGGAGGACGATTTCCAGAGAGGAACTCAGGTAATAACCCATCAGCTGCCATACTAACAGCAGCTGCAGGGAAAAGCGCCTCAGTCCCGAAGGGGTGTAGTTGGTACAGAGCAGCATCACACAGGAACTGTAGCAGACCCAGGTGCCTAAAAAATGATCTCCTTCCAGAAGATTTCTGTCTTTGGATGCTAAGCTCATAGAATTACCATGATGCCAGCTTGTGGACAGTAAATATCCTAGGAGGGTCCCAGACGCTGTGCTGAGGGCGCTCAGAGCAGACAAAACCTTCAGTGGGCTTCCCAGCAGGAGTGGCATAGATGTGCACCTGGAAGGATGGTTCAACTTTCTGAGCCAGGTGACCTTACTCTGCCTCTCCCGGGGTCCTTTGCCAAGCATATCTGTTTAGCACAGAGGACAGCTCTAGGAACCACCGTCCTGGCCCACCATCCCCATGGGTGTGAGGAGAAGGCAGCACCCAACCCAGCATGCCAGGCGTGCCCGGTGGAGACCCTCAAGTATAGGTACTCTGCCCAGACAACAACCCTAGCAGGAGGAGGCAGCCCTCAGACCAGAATGTGGTAGAGGTAGCCCTGTCAAGAGGGTAAAAGTTACCCCTTATTGTGTAAGGGGCCCCATGCTAGCTGCCTTGGCCTGGGCTTTCTTGTGAGATCTTCAGCACTTTAGCTGATCTGAAACTAAGAGGGGTGAAGAGGAAAGAGAAGCTGGCCTGGGGCACTTGGAGAGAAATGCAGAAGCTGAAACCACATGTAAAACAGAAAACCTGAGTCTCAGCTACTTCCATGAGCTGAAGATCTATAGGCTGAGAAACTGGGCATTGGAGCACCAGGGAAGAGTGAAAGAACCCACGAGGGGCCATTGGACACTGGGTCTCAATCCTCTCTCTGCCGCAAAGTCAAGCTGTGACTTGGGGCAGGTTGTATCGACTCTCTGGACCTGTTTCTCCTTGGCTCAAATGTGCAGGGGCAGTTTAAAGTGAAAGCTCAGGAGCCAGCCTGCCTGACCTGAATCCCACCTCTGCCACCCCCTAGCTGAAATGTGCTTATCTTCTCTGCATCTCACTTTCCTTAGCTCAAAATGGGAGTAATGAAAAACTTTCACACAGAACGTCGGAGATTCTGTACCTGGCTGGTTTTCCATTTCCCAGCCTATCTTTCTCATAAGGGTGCCTACCTGTGCTGTCGTCACAAGCCATTCCACACCAAAGGGAATGGAATGTAGCCCAAATCGTTGGATATATTCGGTGAGGGTGGACTCTGTTTTCTAAAGTTAGCTGGCCTGCAGACCCAGTAAGTATAGTGACAGAGCTGCCCTATGAAGGCCCGTCTCTGGTAGCACAGGAAAGCTGCTCCCAGGCTGGTTTTTGCCCCCTGCTGGAGGTGCGTAGGGCATATAGCTCCTACTGAAAAGCCCTACCTTTAGCAGCTCTACCCTCCCTTCACAGTGTTCTGTGACTCCCACCTTCCCTTGACCTGTCAGCTACTAAGGTTTTAAGGCCTTTCTTGCTGCAGAGACTAAAAACAGGGGCGAGGTCCACAGATGAGGGTGACTGGTGGGGAGGGGGGCGGCTTTTAAAAACCTCTGTGTGCAGAAGGAAGGGTTCCTCACTGCATTTTGAACAGGGAAGTATGTAGTTCCCCAGAGAACAAAACACAGTTCAGGATGACTCATTTTGAAGACTGGTGTTCCCCCCAAGAAAGTGTTAGGAGGGAAGTGGATATTTTACTTAGCAAATTCTTCCTGAGGGCCAGGTATTCAGGGGCCACTGCACACGAGTGATTTGCATTAATCACTCCAAAATCCCCACCAACGAAGCACTATTGTTCCTACTCTTCAGACAGGAAACCCTCAAGTCCGCTCTCTTCTCAGGACACCAGGAGCAGCACCTGGAGCCCACATGCTGGAGGCCAAGCATCATCACCCTGGGTGCAGGCCTTCCCCACCCACAGGGCCATGGCAGAGGCCCGATGTGGAGGAGGCCCTGGGGTCTGAGCCCAGGACTGTCAGCAGGAGGTACCTGAGCTCCCTGAAGAACAAACTGTCCAGCGGGGCCTGGAGGAAATCTTACCAGCCTGGGACCCAGCCCGGGACGGGGATGCAGGTGCCTAAGGGCTGGGGTAGAAGTGGGGAACTAGGAGTCCCCTCCACCGCCCTCCTCCTCCCCATACGTTCTCTCTCAGCCAGAGTCAGCACTTCCCCAGCTGGAAGCTAAATTCTCTTCCACTAAAGGCTTTTAAGTGTCTAATATGCACCACACTGCTGGTACTATTTCACACACCCCTCAGTGTAGAGTCTTCTGGGCAAGGAAATCAAAACTCAGACAGCTTAAGGAACTGGTCCAAGGCCACACAGCTAGGAACGGTCTCCATCTTGTGAACCAGATCCCCTACCCTGGTGTGGCCTCAGTTTACCCACTGAAGGAGGTAACAAGCCCAACTAGAAATAGAGATCAGTGCTAATTCTTGCCCTTATATTGATCCCAGGCAAGTCACCTCCCTTCTCTGGGTTTCAGTTTCCTTGTCTGTGGAGTTCAAGAGCTAGGCTGCACGATACTGTGTACCTGGAGCCAGACTGCCAAGGTTCACATCCCGGCTCTTTTGCTTACAAACTGTGTGACCTTGGGCAAGTCACTTTAACCTCTTTGTACCTCAGTTTCCTCACTTGCAAAATGGGGATGGTGATCATAGTAGTATGTTCCGGTTATTAATTGCTTCATAACAAACCACCCAAAAATGTAGTGTCTGAATATAATTTATTATTTCTCATAATTTTGTGTGTTGACTGGAATGCTATTGGATAGTTTTTATATTGGTCTCGCTTGGGTTTGTCCTAGTCAGCACAGGCTGCTATAACAAAATACCGTAGACTGGGTGACTTACACAACAGAAATTTATTTTCTCACAGTTCTGGAGACTGGAAGTCCAAGATCCAGGTGCTTACAGGGTTGATTTCTGGTGAAGCCTTTCTTCTTGGCTTGTAGACAGTTGCCTTCTTACTGTCTCCTCACAGGACTTTTTCTCTTTGTGCCAGTCTTCTGGTATCTCTTCTTCTTCCTAGTGTATTAGGGCCCCACCCTTATGACTGCAATTAACCTTAATTACTTCCTTAAAGGCCCTATCTCTAAATACAGTCCCATTTGAGGTTAGGGCTTCAGCATATGAATTGGCGGGGAGGGGCACAGTTTAGTCCATAACAGGGTCTCTCTGTGGCTGCAGTTACATAGCGGCTGGGACTGGAATGTCCAAGAAGCTCAACTCTCAAGCCGGGTGCCTGGCTGGGTGGAGACAGCTGGGCTCAGCTGGGATGCTGGCATGGCTGGGCCCCTCGCTCTCTCTCTGTGTAGTCTCAGGGCTTCTCCTCTCCATGTGGTTTCTTCATGAGGTCTCTTCACCAGGGCAACCAAACCTCCAGATATGGTGGTTTGAGGCTCCCAAGAGAGCACAGGGAGACGCTTCCAGGCCTCTTAGGGCTTAGGCTCAGAATTGGTACAGCCTCACTTCTGTCCAATTCTCTCAGTTAAAATGACCCCAGAGCCAGCCCAGATGCACCATGGGAAGGCATGAATGCCGGGAGGTGTGTTTCACTGAGGCATCTTTGGAGACTATACCCAAGGTCCCCATCCGAGACCAAAGCTGTCCCTCTTCTTCTCCTCCCCCCAAACACCCTACAGGAGCCTGAGGAGAAGAGAATCGTCCAGGAGCTGCTGGAGACAGAGCAGGCCTACGTGGCACGCCTCCACCTGCTAGACCAGGCCAGTGGCCAGGATGCCCCTACTGGACCCCCAGTACCCGGGTCTCCTCTCCCTACTCCTGCTCTTCCTCTCGACCCACCTCATCAGGGCTAAGAGTTAGGACCCCTCAAATTGATTTTAGGAAGTCTGAGTCCTTTAACCCCATTGGCCGGAGTTGGGGCAGAAATCAGGATTTAACCCATTAGTGCCACTCCCCATTTCACCCTGGTGCCTTGTGCCTCACGTATAGCAGAATACACACCAGCCAGTCTTTCCAGGCCCCACAGAGCATCCCCATCTGTCATCCCAAGGTCAACATCTTCACCGTTATTACCCTTTCACACTTTCTTAAGGAGCCCCAAGGCTAGAGGGTTAAATCATTTAACATCAGCAGAGGGCTTTTTAGCCTGGCGAAGGCCAAGACCTTGACAGACCCTGAATTGCCCCATTTCTGACGTCCATCAGCTGCCAACCTTTGGCCAAGTCCCTGAGTCTATAGGCCTTGGTTTATCCATCTGTAAAGTGGCCAGAATATCCCTGCCTATCTCTTCTGGGGTTCTTGTGAGAATAATGGGATATCCAGGAGGCGAAAGCCTTCGGTAGCCTGGGAGGGTCCCCGAAGTCCCTGGGGCTGTGTTTGTCTTCCCCTGGGCTGGTGTGGGTGGCTCCCTCTCTGCTGCAGGCCCAGTAATCCAATGGTGGCTGCAGGTGTTCTTCCAGGAGCTGCTGAAGGAGGCCCGAAGCAGCAAGGCCTTCCCTGAGGATGTGGTCAGGCTCATCTTCTCCAACATCTCCTCCATCTACCAGTTCCATGCGCAATTCTTCCTCCCAGAGCTGCAGCAGAGGCTGGATGACTGGTGAGGTCCACCAGGAGCCCCTGAGGCCCCTGACCACAGCTCCCAGTGTACTGGGTTTGGCCTGTTAGGCCCCTGCCCTTGCTGTGTGGCCACAGCAGTCTTCTGCTCTAGGCTCATTGTCTTCATGGCAAGGGGCTTGGAGGAATGAGCTGTGGGAGGCTGTTTGTGTGTGTGTGCGTGCATGCGTGCGCGTGAGCCTGTATGTGTGGATCAGGTTCTCACTAGGCTGAGTGACAGGAGCCAGTGGAAATAGCCAGTGTTAACTGAGAGCTCCCTACATGACCGGACTTGGGCTTTATACCTCACTTATTAACTCGCTTAATCTTCAAATCAGCCCACTGTAAGATGATGGCATCGGGTTATGCAAGAAACCCTCTTTGCTTTCAGAGATGACCACTAAAGCATTTAGTGGTGAAATTACTTGCTTTATATATTTACCAAAGAAATGCCATGATGTCTGGGATATCTTTTAAAATTCTTTGGCAAAGAAGAATGTTAGGAATTGTTAAATCCAGTGATGGATACATAGGGTTCATTATTATATTCTTTTTATTTTACCTTTGCTTAAACGTTTTCATAATAAATGTTTTTGTTTGTTTGTTTTTAAAAAAAGACAATGCTTTGAGGTCACCTACCATCATTTTCATTTGTCAGATGGGAAAACTAAGGTACAGAGAGGCTAGGTGATTTGCACATGAACACACAGCTAGAGTAAGTGGTACAGTTGGGAATCCAGCTCAAGCAGGGCAGCTCCAGATGGTGACTCCTGACCGCTCTGCTGTAACAGTTCCTGGGTTGGAGACCTTCAGGCCCTACCACAGGATGGTCCTGGGTCAGTTCGTACCCCTTTGAGCCTTGATTTCCTCATCTCTAAGGTGGGCCAAGAACTGTTGCCCTTGTAGGGTTATGAAAATTAAATGAGATGAGACATGCCGCATGTCTCAGGCACTGCTTGGCATGTGGCACTTGTTATTGTTATAAGTGTCAAGTTGTTGTTGACCTCCTGTTCTGGGCCCAGCACTGTACTGGGCCTTTGGGTGAGCCCAGTCCCTGGGAGAGAACAGCATCTGCCCTCAGAGGTCTCACAGGCAAAGGGGATAAACCACACACACGTGTGGGAGGATGACACATCCCTCATTGCCTGCACCCAGAAGTGCAGCAGAAAGGCTGTTTGGGGAGGTGTAGGGAGCCTGGCATCAAGGTCCTCAGGCTGAGGACAACACCTGGATGCCCCTCCTGTAGGCCAGCCACCCCCCGCATCGGTGATGTGATCCAGAAACTGGCTCCCTTCCTGAAGATGTACAGTGAGTATGTCAAGAACTTTGAGCGAGCTGCTGAGCTGTTGGCCACCTGGACTGACAAGTCTCCCCTCTTCCAGGAGGTTCTCACCCGCATTCAGGTGAGGTTGGGGTGGGGGCAGGGCAGAGCCTGCATTGCCACCCTCATGGGCAGTAGCTCAGTTTCCCCAGTGATGTGGGGCATCTCCCAGGCTCAGTGCTTCCATAGGTCCTGGTACCTACCTGCCCTGCCCATTCCCCTGACCCTCAGGGGCAGCCAGAGCCACCCCTCCCCACTCTCC